TCAGGCTCCAGTTCTCCAGTCCTCACGGTCCCTCCCCATCATGACCTGTATGGATGGTGGGCACCCGCATGCAGGGTAGTCCCCCAGGGTGGTGTGGGTAGGGCTGTAACATCCATACCAGGGGCGCTCAGCCCTGCCTCACCCAGGGCCCCACCCTCAAGGGGCTGAGTGCCTATGGGCCCAGGTGGGGAGGGGTCTCTGGCCCCAGCCGCTGGTTGGGCTCTGCCTGGTCTCACCTGACCCCGTGCCCTTGCAGGAGGTCCTGCACACCAACTCCCTGGAAACACAGAATGACGGCCCTGCAGACTGCAGCCTGAGCCTGGGGGAGCCCGGCGGGAAGACCCCCTCGAGGCACGTGTCCCTGGCGGACCCCCTGCAGTCCCCACCCCTCTCCCCGAGGCTCACCAGCGTCCGTACCCGAAAGCACACTTCTGGACAGCGCTGCATCTCCGGTCAGCCACTAGCCTCGGGTGGGGAGGAGACAGAGGCCCCAGACCCAGCCGATGAGGAGGTCTGCCACATCACCAGCTCAGCCCGGAGCCCCTCGCCTGAAGCCCACGGGGTGGCGGGTGGCGAGCCAGACCTGCGCAGGCTCTACGGTGTGGACACCCAGGGCTTCCTGGACCAGCCCAGCCTGGCAGACCTGCACCGGCAGCACTCAGTGGAGCCAGGCGGAGGGGACAGCCACTCAGAGACTGGCGAGGGGAAGGTTCAAGGCTTAGAGGCTGAACCAACCCTGGGGGCACGCAGGAAAAAGAAGATGAGCCCCCCTTGCATCTCTGTAGACCCCCCCACGGAGGACGAGGGTGCAGCCTGGCCCCCTGCAGCAGAGGGCGGCAGTACCACCCTGCGGCGGAGAACCCCATCCTGTGAGCCCATGGAGGGCGTGGGGGTAGACCCTGCCACCAAGGGGGAACGGTGGGGCCCGGTCTCCTGCCGTGGGGAGCACCTGACCGTCCCCAGCTTTGCCTCTGAGTCGCTGGCTCCTGGCCCCGGCGGGGACATGTTCTTGGACAGTGGCCACAGGGTGGCCCAGGGACCCAGAGCTTCCTCAGGGGTCTCATCTCCTGCTGAACCCCACAAAATAGAGTCTCCTGTGTCCTCTATCAACCCCCCAGAGAAAGGGCAGGGGCTATACCTCAAAGTCCCCCAGAGCCCCCCAAAGAAAGCAGGACCCCCTTCAGCCAATCCCACAGGGGGTGACAGTGTGAACGAGCCTGTGTAGCTGGGGGCATGATGCCACACAGGCTTGGCACTGGGGTTGGGATGTACTTGTTGGGGTGGTGGCCCCGGGCAGGGCCCTGCATGGACCCCATGTTGGGCCACACCTGGGGCCGAGGAGCCAGGAAGATACTCGCCCAGAGAGGGGGAGGCAGGTGCTCTTCTGGGCAAAGGGGAACAAGGGTAGCTCCCTGGATTGCAGGCCTCCGCCCACCCATTCAGGCCTGGGTTTTCCCGAGTCCCTCCGCTGTGGTCTGAGACTGCTGGCAGCCCAGGTGGCAGGCAGTCCCTGAACGAGAGCTGTGTTCATGGGACCAGGACCAGAAAGTGACCAAAAGGAGAAAGGCAGAGGTTGCCCGGCACATCGCGTCTTCACGTCCACTTGTTTTTATAGGGAACACACGCGGGGGCCGCTCGGCCTCTGAGGAGGCCCCTGCAGCCAAGCTTCACCACCACCCACAGTCTGAGCCCCCGTCATTTGTCCCAGCCCTCATCGCTGTCACTCCATCTCCCCTTCCAGGCCCCCCCCCCACCATCCTGTCCAGAAAACACCCGTTGACTCTGGCCTCTCTGAAACACCAAGTTGCCAGGGAGTGGGAGCCATGCAATAAGACCCGCCCCCAGTGCCCATGCCTCCCAAAGCCATCCCAGGGTCTGGGAGGAGCCATTCCCACTGAAGTCTCTTTGTTTCATTGTTTCTTTTATAAATTCAGGTTAAATGTTGCAATAATCTGATGCAGAAAATTCAGCTCAAAGGGAAGGAGGACAGAGCAAAGCAGAATAAATACTAACTTATTTAAGGAACAAGTTGGATGACAATCTGAATCAGTCCCTCACGAGTGGGTGGCACAGCTGGGCGATGACGGCTGACACAGCAGGGTTGCAGGGCCCCCCTCCCAGCATCCGTCCCCCAGTGTTTCGTGGCCTCCCCTCAGGCAGACCCACACACTGAAAGTTCTTCAGCAGGAGGAGGTGAGCATGTCACAGCAGTGCGTCCACATGGTGTCATTCACGTGCTGGAGAAGCCATATCTGACCACGTGGGCGGGAAGTTGTTTTGCCAGCTCTCCTGACAGGGATGGGGGAGGGACCCTCACAGGGAGCTGGGCAGTCGGCCTAGGGCTACGAAGTGCACCCCACTCTAGCAGTCTCCCTGCCCTGAGGTCTTCAACCCCGAGGCCCTGACCCTGGACCTTGCCCGATGCTGGCTTCTCAGGGACCAAGCTTCCCCTGCAGCCCCATGAGCCTCTTGTCCTTGAAACCTGGTCTTGAATTTCACAGGAGAGTCCTTCCTCAAGGCCCGGACTGCGTTTGGCAGAGACATCTCAAGCCACCCTCACGAGCCCCCCCACCCCCACTGTCCCTGTTGCCACATCCCTTCCCCAGTCCCGTGTCGCCACCAAGGAGGAAATGGACACAGAGCCGTTCAGTCCCAGGCAGCCCTTCCTAATGTCCTCTGTCAGGCCAGGGCCAGATGGCCGTGCTGATTAGAGGCCTGGGTGGGGCCAGGGCTTTCCTACCCAGAACCTGCTCAGCTGCAAATCACAGGCCTGACTCGGAGGTCCCTCTGTGTGCACCATGCCCTCCTGCAGGCAGGGGCAGAGGTTCCCGGGGTTGAGAGTGAGGGCACGGCTTCTCGGGGTGCAGACTCGTCTCCCCTCCACCTGTGGCCTGGAACCATGATCCAAAGTGTGTGTGCCACGATTTTCCTAACCGTGAACAGGGTGACAGTGGCTTTGTCTCAGGGGATGCAGTGGACCCATTGTAGAAACATGCCTGGGAGGGTGCTCCTCCAGGAAGGGGAGGGGCCCTTTCTGTCCATCTTGCAGGCATGGAGTTGGAGCCCAGGCCAGCCCTCCCAGGCGCTAGAAGGCTTCGTGTCTCCGGGGGGTGGGCTGGGGGAGTGGGTCTAGAGTAACACAGGTTCACTGCCTTCTGGACCCCCAGTGCCCTCCTTGGTCCCAACGAGAGGATGTCAGGGCCCGCAACTGTCCCAGTTCAGTTGACCTGGGCACTGAAGCCCTTCTCTCCCCACCTGCACCTGTCATGTGGCCCCTGGGAGCACCCTCAGGGTTCCAGGCCTGCTGTCACACAACAAATTCTGAGGGCCATCCATGTGGTCCCATCAGGGACTCTGGGACTGGACTGGTTTCTGCCCATTTTGCAGGAGAACACAGGGAGGGGCGTCGTGCCCCACACTGCCTGCCTCTCCTGGCCCTGGGGGGACGGGCCGCCTGCAGCCCCATGAACATGGGCCTCGTGGGCCCACCCAGGAGGACCCTGGGGGCACAGAGGGAGGGCTGTCCCCTCACAGCCACACTGGCTCAGCAGAAGGGCAGCTTGACCCTGATAAGCCAGCACTCACTTTATCTGTGACTTGCCACTGGCTGAGCTGGCAGATTTCCTGGAGATCCGGGGACCAGATGAGGGGAGGCTGGGGGTGGCCAGCCTCCTCCCTGCTTGCTGGTTGGGGGGGTGGGTCTCAGCCCCAGGCCCTGCCCATCTATCTTCCTCCCACACCTACTGGAGGAGGCTGGCGGCTTCTTGTCCCTCACTGTCCTCCAGCACAATGGGCACTTAGAGCTAAGTGTCAATGTGCTTGTGTGAGGTGAGCCATCCAAGGAGGTGACCCCCCAGCCACTGCAGCCACCACGAGGGTGGGGGACGGGCGTGAGGGAGGAAGGAGGGAAGGGGCCCGGTTCATCTACACCCTTCACGTTCTAGGGAGGAGGGAGGGCGTGCATTCTGGCCACAGTGAAATGATTAGAGATGAGAGGAAAGTGAGGAGGGTGGGCACCTCCCCCATCAGAGTTTCCACAGCAGCGAGGGTTCAGGGAGAGTGGGGGCAGAGGCCCTTCCCACCCGGACCTGCAGTGTGGGCACCAGGGGCAGCGGAGCTGCTGGCTCCCAGGAGCTGCTGTGTCTGGGAGGCGACCTGGGGGGCAGGGCAGCCTGACGCAACAGGCTCACCAACAGGAGCAGTGGCGGGGAAGCTCGCCCAGCGACCAGAGCGCCCCAGGGGGTGGAAGTGGGCGGGGCCTGAGGGCGCTGTCCCCAGTGCTGCAGGTAGACAGTTGTCCTCGTTCCCGCCAAGGGGAAAGGCTTCAGTTGTGAAGGGGCTGCCCACAGCAAAAACCATAAAAATGCTCATGGAAACTGTACTGAGATGCCACCCCCACCTGCCAGCACGGCGGGTTGGAGAGGGCCAGGAGGGGGTGCGACACACACCTGGCCTCTCAGAACAGAGGGAGCGTGGGCCTGGGGCCTCGGCCCCCTGGCCGGCACAGCCACAGGAGAATGTCCCGACGCGGTGGTCGGTGACTCAGAGGTGTCGCAACCGCCCCATCCCCTGGATGTGAAGAGCAGGCAGATCCACCACTGCCCGAGTCCTGCACACAGCGGCCTGGGGGGGCTGCGGGGGGCTGCGGGGGGGCGGCTCTGTGTGGCTGGAGGGACGCAGGGTGTGGAGGGGCCAAGGCAACATGCTGTGACCCCGTGGGGGGCACCTTGGCGTCCCGAGAACCGTGAGGTCAACGTTCTGTGTTGCTTTCTGTGCCCTGAGTACATGGGGCTGCTCAGCAGGGACACGAGCCTGGGCACCAGGGGCTGGGAGGGGTCTGTGCCCACCACAGTGCCCAGGGCTCAGGGTTCCAGGGACCCACAGTGACAGACAGTGGCTCTGCAGGCTGCCTCGGCCCCTCCCCTCCCCCTCGAGGACACCCACAACCAGGAAGATGGCCACAAGCACGTGTGTTCTCCATGTGCTTTAATGAGGGTCGGTGCTGCCACCTGCTCCCTGGGCTGGGGGTGGGGGAGGCGGGGAGCTGAGCACAGGGAACAGGGGAGGTGGTGAAGGTGCACCTGGGAGGGCAGGGGCAGGGGTCTGGGGACAGCAGGGGCCTGGTCCTCCTTGGACCCAGCTGGCAGCCCCAGGGACAGGCTCAGGGCTCCTTGGGGACATACTGGCGGATCCAGTGCAGGTAGTGGGTGACACGGGTGTAGATGCCAGGCCTGTTGGGCTGGGCGCAGCCTTCACCCCAGCTGACCACACCTGCCTGCAGCCAGGTGCCATTGACCTTGCAGACCAGGGGCCCTCCAGAGTCGCCCTGGGGAGGACAGGGAGGGGTCGCAGGTGGCTGCAGATGCTGGGGTGGGTGGGGACTCTGGGGAGGGCAGGGGCCCACCTGGCAGGAGTCCTTTTTCCTGTTCCCGGCACACATCATGTCGTCACGGACGATCCGGACGTTGTCCCCTGTGTACAGGCCAGTGTGGTACTCCGTGTCACACAGGCTGTTTTCCACAATGGGGACCTTTACCTGCTGCAGTGGGTACGGTGGTGGGAGGGGCTCTGGGGGAGAGAGGAGAGCATTCTGCATCAGGGAGGAGGCCATCACTGTCCTCAGGCAGCTGCTGGGACCCCTCCCCCACAGGGAACCCCAGAGCTGGGACATGGATGTGAGCAGTCCCCACATTCCCAAGGCCTCCAACTGTCCCCAGCACTCACCTTGATTGCCCAGATCGCCCCAGCCTGTCACCCAGCACGAGGTTCCTGGGGGAAAGGTCTCTGAGGCAGGAGGCAGGGTGACCAGCTGGACATGGCCGGAGATGCTCACGGGGTCCTCGAGCTCCAGCAGGGCGATGTCTGCCCCGTTCTCAACTGTGTAGTAGTTGGGGTGGGGGATGATCCGGCTGACAGCCAGCAGCCTGTCCTGGTAGTAGAGGTGCTGCTCCCGCAGCTGCACCCTCAGGTCTGCGGGGTCCGCAGTTCCCCTGGAGGGAGGGGACACCCACTCAGGGGGCTGAGCAGCCTCCTGGACACCTGGGAAGGAGGAGGGAGCCCCCCCTCTCCCACCCAGCAGGCCCCAGGGACACTCACGGTCCAACGCAGTGTGCGGCGGTCAGCACCCACTGGGGGTGGATGAGGGAGCCCCCACAGATGTGCATCCAGTACTGGAGTTTGACCCGCAGGCTCACCTGCCAGGGCCATTTGGTTCCAGGGGCCTCCTTCCCCCCGACGATGCCCACTCTCTCCAGGTCCTGGCTCGGGGCTGGGGCACAAAGCACCCTCAGGACAGGACACAGTTTGGCCCTTGTGCCCACACAAACCTGGGCATCTGAGAACCCAGCCGCCCACAGTGGGGCCTGGGGTGTGGGGAGAAGGGCAGGGACAGGGTTGGCCCAGGTCACGACTCACCAGGGGCTGCATGGACCAGGCCCAGCAGGAGGGGCAGGGCAAACACCAGCAGGTTCAGCATCTGCAAGGAGCAAGGAGGGACTGTAGGGCCCAGCTGGGGCTGGGTCAGGCTGGGGTCTGCAGGGTATGGGGTACAGATGGAGTCGGGGACCCCAGGGTCAGGGGCCGGTCAGCTCAGGCCTGGAGTCTGAGGTCCTGCTGAGGAAGATGTGAGGCTCAGCTGCCCTGAGCCCTGACACCCAGCTGTTGGGGTTTGGCAGGGCGTGCTTACCTCGGCCGCTCCCTGCTGCTATTGCCCAGCCTGCTCTCCCCTCCCCATTTATCCTCGCAGGCCAGGAGGGGGTCAGAGGAGGGGTGCGCAGCCCTCCAATCCAGCGTGGAGGAAGTGGGTGATTCAGACAGACTTCCATGTGACATAGGCCCCCACTGCCGAACCACTGATCTGGGTACCCACAGTTCTCTGGGTCCAGATCACCCCAGCCTGTCACCCAGCATGGATGTGGAGCCAAGCAGGGGACAAGCCACCCCACCAGGTGGGTCCTGGCTCCCCAGGCTCTGTTGGCTGAGATGCCTAATGGCATCTAACTCAGCCCCTGGTTAGGGCTGAGAGGAGAGGAGCTCCCGTACCCATAACAGTGCCCTCTGGTCCCCTCTGTGTGCCCTAGTGCTGGTCCTGCTGCGGACTAGGAAGCAGACCTTGAGCATCCCTCTCCCTTTCAGCCAGCTGACCCCTGGCTCTGAGAGAGCTTCGCTTCCAGATGCCAGTGTTAATTAGACCCCTCTCATCTGCCAGGGGCAGTGAGGGCTCCCTCAGGAGGCCTTCAGGCATGGCTGCATGCAGGGACGGTGGTGTTGTCCTGACTATGCAACCAGTCACTCCCACCCCAACCGTGTCCCCATGAGGAACCCACGTCTGTGGGCCACCCTTAAAGACGTGCAGCATGGTGCTCTCGGGCCAGTGACACCACTGTCACTCCTCCCCACATCTTTGTATTCACTGACAGGGCTCAGTCCTCCCCACCTCACTTCCAGGGAGGGGCTGACACAGTCCCCCTTGTCCACTTCCAGAGGGAACAGCACCGAGTGTCCTCACCTTGTTGACCTCACACTGGATGGGAGACCCGATTCCAGGCCCAACAGGGTCCGTGTGTGGGGGCCACCTGAGCAGTTCTGCTGTCCCAGGGGGGCCTTGTTGTCTGGGGATCTGAGTGCCATCAGCTGAGGGTCAGGCAGTTGGAAGTGACAGTGAGATAAAAAGCAGCTAGTGCCAGCTTCCCTTGGACACTGCCCCCGTCAGGCCTCACCACCCCTGCCTGCAACCTCCTGACCTTGCCTGTCAACCACGCCATCTCCTCACTCTCCCCTGGGCCTCCTGGTCACTGGAGCCTCCTGCCAACCTCCTCCTGCCCGGTACTTCTGAACAGCCTGCGTGCCCACTGCCATGCAGGTCATCATCAGGGATGAGGTCAGGGTTAAAACCCATCTGGTTGAAGCAGGCAGAAGGATGCCTGAAGCTCCCAGAGTGCGGGGGATATTTCATGATCCTCTCCCCAATTTGGATTTGGGTTGCCTGCCTGCTTTCTTATTGCTGAGGTTTAAGAGTTCTTTGCATATGGAATAACAGGTTTTTTTTTTTACCAGGTATGTGCTTTGCAAAGAATTTCTCCCACTCTGTGGCTCGTCTTTTCGTTCAGTTAACATTATCTCTTACAGAGCAGAATTTTATAATTTTTATGAAGCACAATCTATCAGTTTTTTCTTTCATGGATCCTACCTTCAGTGTTGTATCTAAAACTCATCACCAAAGCCAAGGTCATCTAGGTGTTCTCCTATGTTATCTTCTACAAGTTTTATAGTTTTGCTTTTATATTTAGGTTTATTTTGAGTTCATAAGCCTAAATGTTAGGTTTGATAAACGAAATTGATAAAGCTTAATTCAAAATGGTCCATTTGAATTAATTTTTGTGAAAGGTCTTTGTCAAGATTCATTTTTTTTGCATGTGGATATTTAGTTGTTGATGACTATTGGTTGAAAAGAATGTCTTCTCTCCACTGCATTGCCTTTGCTTCTTTGTCAAAGGTCAGTTGATTCTGTTTCTGGGCTCCGGGCTCTGGTCTATAGATCTGTGTGTCTGTTCTTTCATCAGTATCGTTATAGACCGACAGCAAGTCTTGAAGTTGAGTAGTGTCGGTCCTCCAATCTCGTCCTTGTTCTTCAATATCATATCAGCTTTTCTGAGTCTTTTCCATTTCCACATGAACTTAGAATCAGCTAGTTGACATTCACGATATAACTTGCTAGGGTCTGACTGGGATTGTACTGAATCTGTGATGGAGTTGGGGAGATGCGGTATCTTAATGATGTTGTCTTCCTGTCCATGTGTTGTCCACCCCTGTGTGTGTGTGTGTGTGTGTTTTAAATTGAGATAAAACTGATATACACAGAATTCACAGAACCTGAGAGTCCAGGTTGATGAGTTTTAGTGTTTATAAAGCTTTTGTAACCATCACCCCAAACAAGATATAAAACCTTTTCACCACCTGAAATGTTTCCTCATGTCTCCTTCTAGACAAGACTTTCCCCTCCACCCCAAAGGCAGCTGCCATTGTGATTTTTATCACCAGAGGTTAGTTTTGTGGTTCTAGACCTTCACATGAAAGGGATCATACATGTAGCATCTGAATTCTTTGGCTTGGCATAACAATTTTGAGATTCATCCAGGTTGTTCTGTGATTTGTACTTCATTCCCTTTTCATTGCTGAGAAGTATTCCACTGTAATGAAGATATTGTCCTTCTTTGGCCCTGGCTGGTGTGGCTCAGTGGATTGAGTGCCAGCCTAGGAATCAAAGGGTCACTGGTTTGATGTCTAGTCAGGGCACATGCCTGGGTTGAGGGCCAGGTCTCCAGGAGGGGGTGTGCGAGAGGCAACCACACACTGATGTTTCTTTCCCTCTCTTTTTCCTTTCCTTCCTCTCTCGAAAAATAATAAACAAAATCTAAACAAATAAAATAGATAAGAAAATATTCTCCTGTTTTGTTCTAGAGGCTTGATAGTGTTAACACCCACACTTTATATAAATCCACCTCAAATTAATTTGTGTGCATAATGTAAGTGAGGTGAAGTTTTACTTTTCTCCATATACTTATCCATCCAGCACCATTTATTGGAAAGGCCACCAGTTACCTGTTCAATATCAGTGACATTATTGTCATAATTCAAGTGATGATTTCTGCATGCATATGTGGGCTCTGCTTCACTCCTTTGATCTCTGTGTACATCTTGCCCCCAGTGCTGCACCATCTTAGTTATTAAAATCAGAAAGGATGAGTTTTCCATAGTTGTTCTTTTTCCTCTAGATGGCCATAGATGGTCATGGTTATTCCAGATCCTTTACCATTTCGTATTAACTTTAGAATTGGCATGTCAATTTCTGCAAAAAGTAAGGCTGCTGGGATGTCAATTTGGGTCACATGATTTATATACATCAGTATAGGGAGAATTGATGTCTTAATAATCCAGACATGTGACATACCTCTATCTATTTAAGGCTTTTAAAATTTCTCACTCTGGCTGGTGTAGCTCAGTGGATTGAGCGCGGGCCTGGGAACCAAACAACCATGGTTCGATTCCCAGTCAGGGCACATGTCTGGGTTGCAGGCCAGTTCCCAGCAGGGGACACACAAGAGGCAACCATACACTGATATTTCTCTCCCTCTCTCCTTCCCTTCCCCTCTAAAGATAAATAAATAAAATCTTTAAAAACAAATTTCTCCCATCACAGTTTTGTAGTTTTTGATGTAGAGACCTTGCACACCTTTCATTACATTTATTCTTAGTGTTTGAATTTTTGTATTCTATGGCAAATAGTATTATGTTTATTTCTCAATCATTGGTAGATATTTAGAAATATAATATTTTTGCATATTGATTTGGCATCCCACAGTCCCGCTAAATTCACTTATTCTTGCGTTGGTAGAATACTTTGGCTTTTCCGTGAACGTAATCTTGTCACCCATAAATAAAGCAGGTTTGTTTTTGCCACAAACCCAGCTCCCTCTGGAGTTCTTCAGTTCCCTAATTTTCCACCAGAGGAAGCCCTAGTACTCCCCTTAACACCTGTTGGGAGGAGCTCTGCACTTGCACTTGGGGGAGGGGACGAGGCTGACTGCCTGCCCACCTCTTACCTGCCCACGGGTCATAGGGATGCAGGGAATAGGGGGACAGGTCTGACCGGGATGCAGGACTGGGTGTGTGACTTTCTGAGAAGTGGATCCAGGACTTCTGGTCAAGATGGCAGCACAGGCAGACATGGCTCTCCACCTTACACAAACACACCAAAATTGCAACTAAAATATAGAACAACCATCACTTAGAACCATCAGAAATTGAGTTGAATGGAAGTCTGACAACTATGAAATTGAAGAAATCACATCCATCCAGACTGGTAGGAGGGGTGCAGATGCAAAACAGGCTGGTCCCACACATGTGTGGTGGATAAAAATTTGGGAGGGATATTTTGAGAGCCAGGAGTCCCAAGCCCACACCTGGCCCCCAGTCCAGGGTACCAGTGCCAGGAAGATAAGTCCCCATAACTTCTGCCTGCAAAAACCAGTGGAGATTGAGTCGGTAGAAGACACTTCTAGAGTCCCAAGCAGTTCCCCTTAAAGAACCCACATGCGGACTTACTCACACTCACTCCCTCTGAGCTCCAGCACAGGGGTAGCTACTTGAAAGGCCCCAGGGGCACACAGGGAGGACCTCAAGTGTCTGGCATCAAGGTGAGAGCTGGGGGACAGTTTTCTCCCAGACAGAAAGGTGGGTAGAGGCCATTGTCTGTTTTCTGAGCCCTCCCTTCACAGAGCCACAGAGCTGGCAGGCAGGTGCCATATCTGAGACTCCATCAACCTGGCTAACACTATTTGCCCCACCCTGGAGGTCCCCTGTCTCCATCCCACACAACTTGTGGGCCCATTCAAACTGTTAACTGTGACTTTTCTGTATGAATGGCTGGTCTTGTCTCAGGCTTCACAACTTTCTAAATCCTATCAAACAAGCAAC